ACCCATACCCGGCTGTAAATACCTGGGTTTCGCTGCAGCGCAGCCTCGGCTCAGGGGCGAGCCTGCCAGCCCGGTCCTAGGTTAGCGATGGCCAATGGTGAGCACAGGGACCGCCGTCCTCCTTGCGCCCTCCCCAGGAGGCGCCCCCCACCCGGGTCCCAGCAGGGGGAGGGGGGCCCCATGACGTCATGGAACTATTGGAGGATTTAGCTCAGGAGCCCGCCGGGAGCGGCCCTGGGGCCGGTGTTCCATTTAAGCCTACACTGTACTTTTCTGGGCTCCACGTTCCCAGATCTAGCACGGCAACTTTCTACCTTTCCCGAGCCTTAAGCAGCCCTGGGGTTCTGGAAGAAATCAGTGTGTGGTGTCCAGGCCAAGAAGCGTGGAGAATGGGCATGCAGGTATGGTCAGGCAAGGCTCCCACTAGCATGAGCTGGGCCAAGTGGCCATTAAAATGCTTCCAGCAAGATCTCAGGTAGTGGGAGGATGATTTCAGGCTGAAAAATGCCTCATGGCACAGGTAATATTATTATTAACTGGAATAACAATGCAGACAGTTTTGGAATGCTGCTGTCTTCCAGAGACCAGTCAAACCCTCGAAGTAAATGTTATTTCCCCGTCCCCACCCCATCTTACAGATGACAGATGAAAGCTCAAAGAGGTTAAGGAACCAACACAGGATCGCACAGCTGGCAAATGACAGAGCCAGGATTTAAACCCATATCTCTTTGTCTCCAAGCCCAGGCATGCTCCTTCCAAGACAAGGCACTGCCTCTCAATTTTCAAATAGGTGCATTCCAAAGGTGGGGAGCAGCTACATCCAACAGTCCCCAGGCTCCCCCCACCTCCTCTACTCGCCCCAGTCCACCTATGACTCAGTGAGATAGTGGGGGAAGGGGACCTTCTATCATAAAGCAGAGTGAGGACTGTTTGCTCTTCCAGAGAGAGGTTAACGGCTTACCAAGTTAATAACGAACACTCCTAGCTTGTTATGACTAGAGATGGAGGGGAAAGAGGACACTTAAAACAGCAGTAGGGAAGAAAGGTGACTTTATGGAATACCGTGTGCCAAGGACTGTGCTGTGCTAATGGTTTACTTTTTTTTTTTTTTTTTAACACAAAGCTGGCACAGAAGCAAGATATAATACTGATACCAACATTGACGTGCCAGGCACTGCTCTAAGTACTCTACAATACAGAGTAGTAGTGGGAGATTTCAATTATTCAAACAACAGCTGGAAGTTTAATTTTGCGACAAGTCTAGCATCAGCAAAAGTCCCAGCTTGCTGCACTGACTCTTTCGTCTCCAGAGTAGAATCTGGCATCTGACTTGCCTGGGTTTGCAACCGAGCTCTGCCAGCCTGTAGAGGGGAAGTTGTGTAGTCTTAAGCCAGCACCCTAACCCCTCTGAGACCCTGTCCCTTGGGGGTAGCAATGGTGCCTCCCTCACGGTGTTCATGTGAGCATCCCAAGAGAGAATGTAAGGGAAGGACCAGCACAATGCACAAGGAAGCTCTTGTCAAATAGCTGCTAGTATTATTACCTCTAGAAGGGAGGGGGCGTTTTGGCCAACAATGAATAAATTGAGGTCATGCAGAAGTAACTACAACCAACAGAGAAAGTGACTGAGTGGGTCTAGGAGGTGATAAGCGTTCAAGAACTCAACGCTGGGCACAGCATTGAGCAAAGCTAATTTCAGAGTTTGGAGAAAAGTCTGACCCAGTGAATAAGTCACAGAATAAGTCTGACTTATTTATAAATCCCTAAATAAGAATACGTGTGGGGCTTCCCTGGTGGCGCAGTGGTTGAGAGTCTGCCTGCCGACGCAGGGGGCACGGGTTCATGACCCGGTCCGGGAGGATCCCACATGCCGCGGAGCGGCTGGGCCCGTGAGCCATGGCCGCTGAGCCTGCGTATCCGGAGCCTGTGCTCCGCAGTGGGAGAGGCCACAACAGTGAGAGGCCCGCGTACCCCAAAAAAAAAAAAAAAAAAAAAAAAAAAAAAAAGGACATGGAAAGCATACCTCTTTAGGACTTTGACATTCCGAAAGAGTTTTTTTTATCTTTTCCAGAGAGAGAGTAGCCTTAACCAAAAATGGAAGAACAAATGATAAAGGTGGGTATCAGAGCCCAAAGCTGATCAATAGAGAACTAACTGGCCTTGGAAAACATACACACTTGAATCCAACTTGCTGGACAAACCTATAGATGGCATTCGGGGACCACTCTGACAAATCCAGAAAACACAGTGGGTTCCATCCAATGAGAGGCAAACAGATAAATGTCCCAGTTTTTAAAAAATTAGTAAAGGATACATTCTGGAAACCACAGACTGATATACTTCATCCCAACCCCTGGCAAAATTCTGGAATAAAGTATTAACCAAGTACTTGCCCTTTACAGATATTAGTGGCTTAATATCAGTTCTCTTATTCCTTTTCTGATAGAGGTTGTAGGGTGGTTATTTAGGAAATGCTATTAGATCTCAGCACAATGTCTTATGTTTTAGTGGAGAGAGCACAGAATTGAGGTCTGAACACCTGGATACTAGTCTAACTCCACCATTATTAGTAAGTTGGGTGACCACAGGCAAGATCTTTAACCTCACTGGGCCTCACTGATGAAAGATAGGACATGTTCTCTTGGGTCCCCCTCATCTCGGAGTTCCATGATTCCATACTGTAATGAAAAGTGGGTTGGGTGACAGTCCTGTTCAGAGGGTGCAGCCCTGATAAGGCAACCACACCCCAAGGGCCATTTAATGCACAATATCTGGTGTGTTAAACTGACCAAGGAGAGGGCTTATTCCCTGTTTTGCCCTTTATATATGTGTATTAATGGGCTTAATCTGCAAATAATAGGAGAGCTATTGCATAGCGTCACAGAATGAAGATTTAATATAAACTAGATGGACTGGTGGGGGCTTGGGCTGAAAGTCAGATGAAATTAAATAAATGAAAAACCCTCTAAGTTATTTAAAAATACCTACACAAGTTCAGGAAGGGGAAGACTGGGCTGAGAAGTAGATGATGGGATGAGGGCCTGAGTGCCTGAGATGACCACCCACTCAAGCTGAAGTGATTCAGTCGTCATGTAGCTGCTCATAAAGGAGCTAGTGCAAACTTGATCATATTTAACACTAAGGATAATGATCATGGGGGACATGGTGAGCCTCTACATGGGCTCCCAACATTATCTCATTTCTGGGGCGTGATAATATTAGGGGATCCCAGCCCCAGGAAGTGCTGGTGCCGTTGGTGTTCTTTTCAGCGCCAGGACCTTATGGAGTAGGACAGTAACAAACCGTAGTGTGTACAGAACAGGGCAAGTCCCACAGGAGGAGCCAGAGACTTGACAGTGCTCAACCCAGAGGCACAACTAAATGGTGGTGTGAGAGGGAAGAGAGAGAAAGGAGTGGGTAAGACTGAGGCTCCGACAGCCTGCCGTCAATCTGTGTACTTCCGTTTGTAAGTTGTGTGACTTTGGGCAAGTTACTTAACTGCCTCTGTGCCTCAGTTTCCCCAAAAGTACAGTGAGGGTAATCCTAGTAACTAACTTATAAGATTATTATGAAGGTAATAAACGAGATGTGTATAAAAGCCTACCTGGCAAATGGCAATGTTTAATGCTTACGCATGATGATGCTGCTGATGATGTACGCACATCATCGTGTACCCAGTGCGCACTTCCATGGAGGAGAAGGAGGTTCATTCTGTCTGACTTCAGAAGGGAGAATAAGACCAACGGGTGGAAGCAGGAAGGAAGAGAATCAGGTTCCACATTAAAAGACCTCTGAAATAATCAGAACTTCCTAATAAAGAAAGGAATTCCCAGTCACCAAAGAAGCTCACTCTCTACCATTTTGTAGCTGGGGAGACAAGTCATGGGGATGATAAGATACGATAAATTGAGAGCTGCAAAGAAATCAGGAAGTATGCCAAAATGAATGGCAACAAGCCCTACCTTTCTATTACTCATCTCTTAAGAAATCTCTGGAAGTTTGGATTTGTTGGTAACCTCAAAGACAGTGGATTTTTGTTGCATGCTTTTGATTTTTTTTCCTGCTTCACATTAAGCAAGATGAAGAGCTTGGGCTTTGTAGTCAGATTCCCCAACTTTGAACCCCTGCTCTGTTATTTATCAACTGTGCAATCTTGGATAACTTAGCTTACCTCTCTGGGTAATGTTTTCTTCTGTAAATGAAATAAACTACCTCCAATCCTGAGTAACGAGGATCAGAGCTAATATATTTTGTGCTGCATTGGTAAGCATTATGCCAAAGTAGGCTGACTTTATAGATATGTGAGACAGGCAGATTGGAGCCTACTGGCCTTTTGTACCTGGCGGTGATGTGGGTGGTAGGGCCTGGATAAAGAAACTCTGCTACATCAGCAAGCACATATGCCAAAAGTGCACTTACGATAGAGATACAGGAGACAGGAAAATTCTGAAAGCCATCCAAATCTTAAAGTCGTATACTTCTCACAAGAGGGGTAAAATAAGAAGGGGTAAAATGAAACTTTTCTGTCATTTGTTGAGAATATGCTGTGTTAGGTTCTGGACTCAATGCTCCACCAGATCTTCACAATGGTTAGGGAGGGGCAGGATTGATGATAATGAGGTTAGACTGGTGAACAGTTTGCAGTTGTCTTCTGAACCATCCCTAAAGCCCTTCTAGATCTATAGACGGGTTCCTGGAGCTTTGTGCTGTCTCCCCAGAGCTGACGAGGACTGGACCTCCCTCATCCCACTGCAGTGGCCAAAGCATTAGGCCTGAGCAACGTTGCCCAAGATTCAGCTTCTGACAGAGGCTGGCTGGTGGCTGATGGCCTTTCATATTCTCCATGAGAGCCCGCACCACACGTGCGCACACACACACACACACACACACACACACACACACACACATGCATACACATGCACACACACATACATACATGCCACCTTGGGTTGGGATATACTGAGGACACTAACGGATGAAATTCTCTCTCTGCCCCTCAGTGTGACGGAGTTGGGGTGGACCTGAGCGGCATCTTCCTTGAAGGCATTGCTATTCTCAACATTCCCAGCATGTACGGTGGCACCAATCTCTGGGGAGAAACCAAGAAGAACCGGGCTGTGATCCGGGAAAGCAGGAAGGTCGTCACTGACCCCAAGGAACTGAAATTCTGCATTCAAGGTAAGCCAAGCATGAGGAAAATTGCTCTAGGTCAGTGGGAGGGATGTTCAGGCGGGTCTGGCAGCAAACTGTATTAGGGTCTACAGCAGGCTCTAGAAGCTTCTACAGCCTTACAAGGACTGGGGGATACACTGACTCATCATCCCTGATGCTGCAATGTTTAATAACCTAATTGAGCAAAGTTACAATAAGGGAGCCCTAAATGACAGTCAGTAGTCAAACTGTGGGACTCCATGAGGTTAGGAGTCAAAGGCTGTTTGTGTCAAGGTTACCAGTGTCTTTCAGTAACTAAATCCAATAGTCAGTTCTCAGTCTTGATCTTGCTTCATCTGTCAGCAGCATCTGACCCAACTGATCACTGCTTCTTCCTGGAAACACTGTCCACTCAGCTTCCAGGACTCCACACCTTCCTGGTTTCCCACTGGTCACCCCTTCTTAGTCTCTTTTGCTGAGTCCTCATCTTCTCTCTAACCTCTTTATGCGGGAGGGTCCCCAGCCCTCTCCTCTTTTCTGTCTGTACTCACTTCTTTGATGAGCTCATCGAGTAGTGAGACTTTATTTAAATACCACGTGAGTGCCAGTGACTCAGCAAGTCCAAAACTGATCTCTGATGTCCCGCCCCCAAACCTCCACCCACAGCCTTCTCCATCTCAGTTGACGATAACTCAAACCTGCCCGCTGCTTAAGCCAAAACACTTGGCACCATCCTCAATTCCCTTTTATCTCATATCTCATACCCAACCCATCCAAAAATCTGTTAGCTCTACTCTTTAAAAACATCTAAGATTCCTACCACCTTGGTCTGAGCCACCATCCCTTGTCCCCTGGATTACTGCAAACCCTCCCAACTGGATTCCCTGCTTCTTCCCCCACCCTGTACCGTCACTTCTCACCACTGCATCAGGATGCCCCTGGGGAAATATGTCTGTCCATGCCACTGTCCTGCTCAGAATCCTGCAGTGGCTCAGATTGAAAGCTAAAGCTCTTCATGTGGCCTAGAGGGTCCTAGATGGTTTGGCCTCTCGTCACCTCCGGACTGCGTCTTCTTTCACTGCCCCCTCGCTCCCTCTGCCTCCGCCACCCTCTTCCTGCCTGGAACAACTGGGTAGTGTGCCTTAGAGGCCATCAACTACCCACCAGGATACAGGACACAGCTTTCTGAGAGTGCCCTTAAAACCACCTCCAGCCCTACCCCTTACCAGCCGCTGCCACCAGCGAACCAGACGGGCCTCAATCAAAGCTCCTGGCAGCTCTGCCTCTTCTGTGGATCGGATGAGCAGGCCCCGCTGATCGGCAGGGATTCTCAGTGGCCTGGTGAGCCAGAGTAGGGGTGTGGGGAGAAGCCGTATGTGAGGGCTTTGGCAAAGACCCCACCTGAGGAGGCAGGAGAATGGATTCAAATCCAAGTGCTGGCACTAACCTACTTTTTGGGACGTCGGTTTTCTTTGCCATAAAACCAGCATCTGGTATAAAAGTTTTGATGACTGAATGGATGGGATTGACCAGACCATTGATTTTTAAACCAGACCTGCCTATCGAAAATGAAGTCCTGGGCCCCAGCCCAGATCTCCATAATCAGTCTCTGGGTTGGTTCCTGGGAACCTAAATTTGTAATGAGCTCCCCAGACGATCTGATGGGCTGCGGGGTTTGAGAACCACCGACATAGACAGGTGTCCAGGAATCTGGGTCTGGGTTCTTTGATGTCCCAGGTGGTTAGTCCTAAGGCTGGATGTGATCCCACCAGTAGAAGGAGACAAAACTTGGCCAACCATTGAGGGAATGGTTACTCGCTTATTTCAGACCTACCTATTAAACAATCAGATTGTCGTATTCTGAAGCAAGGTCATCAAGAGGGGTCATCTGCACACCTGGGTCCTTTAAGAGAAGACTTGGGAATTTTCTTTTTCTCTGCTTCCCTCTTAAGTCCCCTTTATTTCAGAGTAAACTTTTCAATTTGTATAAATTATTAAACTGAATAATGTGTTCCTCCTTCCTCCCTTGGCAGGGGAAGTTGTGGGTGCTAGCAGAGGGTGGGGGAAGCATTGGAAGTTGTAGAAAGTTTCTGCAAACTTTCCCACCGCAGTGTTTCCACCCCAGCCACCACTCTGGCATCCAGGCAGAGCAGAATCAGGGCAGAATCCCCCTCCCCTCAGGCAGGGGCTGGGGGACGCTCTTGCTGAGGATGTTTTCTGGTTGGGGCTCAAGGACAATCGTCATCTTCCCTTGTATGTCTTACCGTGTATCTTCCCCTTCTTGAAGCAAGAGTAATGTGTCTGCTGATCGCTCATGACCTTCATGTACAGGAACTCTCTTCCCCAAATCCCCCTTTGCCACCCCAAGAATATGCTTTCAGAGCTAAAAATGCAGATACTTCCTGTTCTTTAGATGAGGACAGGAGCTGATCAGAGCAGAGGCTGAGGAGGGAGTCTTGGCTTCTGGGCTTTGCAGAGAAGGAACCTACAGTGAAAGCTCTTTCTTAAAGGGCCATGATCTCCTTTAAGATGAGATGTTAATGAGGAAACGCTAAAGAGGCAACCCATTTTAAAAAGTGGAAAAGCATTGGCCTGGGAGTCAAGAGTCCTGGGTTCCAGTCCAGACTGTGCCTCTCACTAGTGTATGATGTTGGGCAAGTCCTTTCAACTTCTTGGGTTTCAGTTTTCATTATCTGTAAAATAGGCAAATCTGACAATCATACAGGTTACTGTAGAGCATAGGTTGCTTACAGCTCCACAGAATTAAGGCACGGCCAGGTTTTGGTCTAGTGGACTCCTTGAACAGAATTATATGGCAGGTTTCTTCCTTCTTTCAGTGTGTTTTGTCTCAGTTTATAGGCCAGTGGCTGAGAAGGTAGGGATCTTTCTCTGCAGGCTCCTAATTTTTTGGGATTTGTTATTCCTTGGCTGTTTCACTAGGGTTGGAGGTGAGGGAGAGGTCAGAAGAGAATAGTGGGAGGGAGGGGGTTTATCATAGGAAGTGTTAAAGGAAATGACGACAGAAAATGTTACTGTCAAATCTCATCACAGGTCAGTCTTTCTCCTTGGAAAAGCAAGCCAAGAAAGAAGGTCAATCAAGATTAGCATAGAATGAGTTCTATAAAACCATTGGCTGATTAGAAAGCAAGAAGTGGTCCTGGGAAAAGCACCAAGCTTGCAGTTGAATGACCTGGGTTTAAATTTAGGCTTTACACTTTCTAGTCTTATAAACCTTGGAAAGTTACCCAACCTCTCTGAGTCTCAGCTTCCTCACCTGTAAAACTGGCATAATAATACCTAGCTTGTCAGGATGATGGATGTCAGAGTGCCTGGAACATAGTATAAGCTCAAACTTTAAAATAAATTTTCTTCTCACCTTTAACGCTATGTTATGTTGGGGCATACCAGCTGAATTACTGATTTTGAAGTTCTCAGGTTTAGCATTGCCACCTATCTGTACTATCACTAAGAAAGAGCCGAGATCCTGCCAAACTCCAGCCCAGCCTTTGCCCTAGCACATTAAACCTATACCATCAATTGTACCTTCTGCCTCCTTTCCTAGACCTTTCAAATTCCAAGGATGGAGGCTGGATATTATTCATCTTATCCCCAGTGCCTGAGCCAGTGTAGTTAGTCCAAAAAAGGTTATTGGATAAATGAGAGGTACCTGGGCAATGGTTCATTTTAGTTTTTATAATACCAGTAAGAATAGTGACAGGTATTTATATTTCATTTTGGCTTGCAGATAGTTTTGCATATATTAACTTAACCTAACCCTAACCAGAAACCCATGAGCAAGGTTATACCCACTCCCCTCCATGTCCCTATTTCATAGTTGGGAAAAACAGAGGCCCAGAGAAGCAATAGGACTTATACAATTTATGTCCAGTGGTCGCATCAGAACCAAGTCCCTGATTCCTAGCCTAGCCCCAAGTGGCTAGTGTCCAACTAGAAAATTTATTTGAGGTCCTACTATGTGTTCTGCACAAGCCAGACACTCAGAAAACAGGAAGCATTTATGTTCCAGTCCAAGGAAAGGCTCCATATACACTTGGTTGAAATTCTGCTCCTCCTACAAGACCTACCTCAAGGGCCATCTCCTTCCTAGAGCCTATGGTGGCACCTCTGGAAGTGAGTCTGGTCTCCGAATTCCTAGAGCATTTAATTTGGGCTTCTGTCTTGACAGTACACTGATTATGGGTTGCATTGTCTCGTAGGCACGTGTATCCTCATCACATTTTTCTCCTGCCAGTACCTGGAAAATGGGGAGCATGTGTTCTTCATCTCCATGTCCCTTTCAAAGCCTAACATCCTACCTGGCTCAGGTTTTTCTACAGAAATGTTTGTCGGAGGGCAGGGTGTGGCGGGGGGTGGGGGGAGGAATCTTGCCTTTGGCCTGTGAGCACAGTGGGCGGTAGATTCTGGAGCTGGACAGGAGCAGACCCTCAGGGAAAAATCTTAAAAAAAAAATAGTCTTACAAACGGTTCGATGCAAATACTTGTGAGACTGAGAATTTAGTTTCATGGAACCATTAGAAACTCATTTGATAAGTAAGATGTGCTGGCTGTCTTCAAATATAGCCTGGAGGACTTATAGCTGAGAGTCGGTGTAGAGTAAGGGACTGACCATTGAACTAGGAGCTAGAAGACCCAGACCTCCCCACCACCAGCCATGTGATGTTAGTTGAATCATTGAATTTTTCCAAGCCTCCATTTCAACGCTTGCAAAATGGAAACAATTATAATCTCTCTCCATCAGCATAGTCACCTTGTTTTGAGAGTTAAATGAGATCATCCATGTAGAACACTTAGCAGAATGCCTGGGACGTGGTGAGCGCTTGATCAATAGTAATCATAAAAATTGTTAAGTGATCAGTGGAAGGTGATGAGTATTTAGTATGTGAGAAAAGGGCCAAATTTAGAATTTCACTCTCTTTACTTCTGCTTCAGTAATTTGGTCTGGATTATCTTTAAATTACCTATGGTTCTAACAGCCCACAACTCTAAGGTTACTTGTTGGCACTGTG